TGCCCATCGACCCACGAATGGATCAATAAATTGTGGTACATGTACACCATGGAATACTATGCAGCCCTAAAGAAATAGGGAGACTTTACCTCCTTCATGTTTATATGGATGAAATTAGAAATGTTCTTCTTAACAAAATATCTCAAGAATGGAAGAAAAAGTATCCAATGTACACAGCTCTACTTTGAAACTAATTCATAGCTTTTATAGGAATGTCATAACCTAATTATAGCTTTAGAATATGGGAAGGGGGTGTGAGGGGGAAGTTAGGGGGGTGGATGGGGGAGGGAGGGTGATTGGTGGGGTCACCTCTATGGTTTATCTTACAAGGGTACAAGAGAATCTTTCTAAAAGCAGAGTATGAACGTTTTAACTCAATAACTAAGAAAGTGACATGAACGTTATGTTAACCAGTTTGATGACAGTATTTCAAAATGTATATGAAAACAGCACACTGTACCCCATGATTGCATTAATGTACACAGTTATGCTATAAGAAATAAAAAATAATAATAAAAGGGAATGACCAACTAAGGAACTACTGCAGCTCAGAGAAGACTCAGAACAAACGACAACTAAATGCCCTCAGGGACCTTAGACCAGAAAAAGGACATTCATAGGAAAACTGGAAAACTTCACATAAGGCGTGTCAACTCGTGAATAATATTATATCAATATTAATTTCTCCATTTCAGTGATTGTTTAAGATTTTAACATTAGGGGAAGTTAGAAGATTTTAACACTAGGGGTCTGGGGGTATTGTCTCTGTACTATTTTTGCAACTTTTTTATAAATCTAAAATTATTTCAAAGCATTTTAAAAACTGAAGGCAAAATAAAGACATTTCCAGACAAATAAAAGCTGGTGGGACTTGTCATCAGCAGGGCCTGCGCTACAAGAAATGCGTTAAAGGAAATTCCAGTTCCGAGGAAAATAATCTCAGATGGAATTCCAGAGCTCCACAAAGGCATGAGGAATGCTGGCAATGGTAAACACACGAGTGAGTGTAACAGACAGACAGGCTCATTTTTCTGTTTCTTTATAAGATAATTGACTTTTCAGAGCAAAAATAACAATGCATGGCGTATTTTACAACGTAGAAGTAAAATAGATGACAGTAGCATGAAGGACGGGGAGGAATAGAAGTATACCATTGTAACACGCTAACATTTTACTTGACGTATGTGCTACTTAAAGGCAAATGTATTCTCCGGCTAAGACAGAAACTAAAAACATTTTTAAAAGAAGCATAGCCCGTAAGCTTAAAGAAGAGATATGATAAAACTGCTAAAAAAGAGTCAATGAATCCAAATCGGATAAATAGAAAAGAAAGAGCAAGATGGTGGACCTGAATCCAACATGTAATATTGCACATTAAGTGGACTAAACAGTAATAAAAGGCAGAGATCGGCAAGCTGAAGAAAAGATCATAACCCCATTTACATGCTGTCGACGAGAAGCACACTCTAAAAACGTAGGCAGGTTAAAAGTTAAAAAATGGTAAAGATATAGAATGTAAAATACTCAACCAAAGAAAGCTGGAGGTGCTATATTAGTATCAAAGTAGACGTCAGGACAAGGAAAGTTACCTTATAAAGGAGTCAAATCATCAAGCTATTCACTGAGCTTCAAAATGCATGAAGAAAAAACTGACAGGACTAAAAAGAGAAGCAGACGATCGACAATTAAGAGTTGGAAATCTCAACATTAACTCAGTAATACTTCATGGAACAAGTAGGTAGTAAGCTAGTAAGGAACGCGTGAACTTGACCTGACATTTATAGGCTGCCACATGAAAAGCTCCAGAATATATTTTACTTTCAAAGGCCCATGAAACATTCACCAAGATGGATGATGTATGAGCCATAAGAAAATTCTCCATACATTTAAAGGGATTGAGAGAATACTTTCTGATGTTGATCAAATTAAATTAGAACTGAATGACAAAAGACACTTGGAAATTCCAAAAAAAATTATTTAAAGATTAAGACATTTCTAAATAACCTATGGGCAAAGGAGAAATTCCAAGGGGAAATCAGAGAGCTCTGTGAACTGAATGATGATGAAAACGTAATACCCCCAAATTTCTGAGATGCAGCCAGAGCAGTGCCCAGAACAAATTTTTTGCTTTAAAGTTTAAAAATCAGTGACCTTAGGTTTGCACATTCCTCACTTGTTTGTAGTGATACTGGTGTAGATGAACCTCCCACACTACCAGTTGTATAAAAGTGCAGTGTACAGTACAACACATACAGTTATGTGCAGTACCTAACACATGGGTCACTATAAAAGTCTGGAGACAGACTGTGCTATGGTGCATTATTTCACTTTCAAGAAAAACACAGTCAACAGCATCCTTTCTGATTCACCCATGCCCAGCTTACGGGTGTGGCAGGAAGCAATTCATTTGTTTCTATCCATGCAGATTTAATGTTTCTTGATTTTTGTGAATCTCAAAACTTTCATAATGACCTGTACCAGAGCATGATGATAAATGACTATGTTACTGGTTTATATAGTTACTGGACTACACTTTTTATTGTTACTATAGAGTGTACTCCTTCTACTTATTAAAAAAAAAGTTAAGTATAAAACATCCTTGGGCAGGTCCTTCAGGAGTATTCCAGAAAAAGACATGATGATCTTAGGAGACGACCACTCCGTGGATGCTACTGCCCTTGAAGACCTTCCAGTGGGAAGAGACATGGAGTTGGAAGACAGTGATACTGATGATCCTAATTCTGTGTGGGCCTAACCCAGCGGTTTTCAACTCATGGCTCACAGGCCCTTTAGGGGTCGAACGACCCTTTCACAGGGGTGACCTCATATCAGATATTTACATTACAATTCATAACAGTAGCAAAATTAC